TACATATATATAATGGAGTACTACTTGGACATATAAAAAGAATAAAATCTTACCATTTGCTACAGCACGGATGGACCTAGAGGGTATTATACTCAGTGAAATAAGTCAATCAGAGAAAGACAAATACCATATAATTTCACTTATATGTGGACTCTAAAGAGCAATATAAATGAAAATACAAAATTGAAACAGACTCATAGACACAGAAAGTGAACTGGTGGCTGCCAGAGAGGAGGGGGCTTGGGGGCTGGGTAAAAAAGGTGAAGGGATTGAGACGCACAAATTAGTAGTTACAAAATAGTCATGGGGATATAAGTAAAGCATAGGAAATATACTCAGTAATATCGCAATAACTATGTACAGTGCTATGGCTGTCTAACCACTATGCTGTATGCCTGAAACCAATACAAAATAAAACTGAAAGAAAAAAATAGAGTGGGTCATGTTCAAAGCCCTGCAAGCCATTATATATATTAATTAGTTATGTTACCATTTTGGAAAACATGCTATATTCAAGTTCTTTCTCATTGTTCATAAAACTATTTGGTTTTAACTGGTGATGATAATGGTGACAAAGATCCAGCACAGGAACATGGATATCACCCTTGTTTGAGGACAATTATTCATAGAAAAAAAACATTAGGAGACAAATATCCACATTTATGACCTTGAAGATGACATCTTTGGGTAGTTTACACAGTCCTCTATATTGGCTACAGTGGTCAAAGCTACTACAAAACAAACAATGAGATTCCTGATAAGGCCATTTCTTTGATTTCAGAAGACAATTATAGTCATGCGCCTCAGAAGGACATTTCAGTCAACAATGTACCACATATACAATGGTGGCCCCTTAAGGTGATTATGGGGCTGAAAAGTTCCTGTCACCTAGTCACATCATAGCCATCCTAATGGCCTAGTGCAATGCATTACCGCTTTTTGCAGCCTCGGTCTTCCCATATTAATGCTATCAGTTAGAAATGCCCGGGTGCAATGTNGCTGAAAAGTTCCTGTCACCTAGTCACATCATAGCCATCCTAATGGCCTAGTGCAATGCATTACCGCTTTTTGCAGCCTCGGTCTTCCCATATTAATGCTATCAGTTAGAAATGCCCGGGTGCAATCACCGGGNATCATAGCCATCCTAATGGCCTAGTGCAATGCATTACCGCTTTTTGCAGCCTCGGTCTTCCCATATTAATGCTATCAGTTAGAAATGCCCGGGTGCAATGTGTCCCTGTGAGTTTCCCACAGACATCTATTTCCAAACCAATGGTAGAACTGAGCTGACCCTTGTGGTTCTTATTCGGGTTCACGATGCCCTTCAGTGACAACCATGAGAACGCAGGCCTGAGGTTCTGCTTTTACTGAGGATGAGGGTGGGGGACTCGGCTACTAGGACCCACTCTTTACTGATTAATTTAAAATATAAGAGTGGGAATTTAAAGGGCCGGAAGAGAAAAACACAAGTAGCCCAGATGTTTTTTTACCAAAATCAACCAAGGTCTAAAGCAAAGAGGCCTCAGTGGGAGTTGGAGGCCTGGCTCTTAATCTAGGTGTGTGGCTGGCCATGGGTTTATTCCAGATAGCTTCCCTTGAAGTGGGTACTGTCTTTGAAATGGATGTCTCTCTGAAGTGAATGTCTCACCAATCAAATCTTAAGTCAGGCCTTTGCATTACAAAAAGAAAAGACAACTGCCAGGGTTTACACTGCAGTCACTGACTTCTCAGTGGTGCTGCTGGTGTAGACAAACCTACTGTACTGTCAGTCCCATAAAAGCATAGTGCACACAGTTACAGCAGTAGCTATACCATCTAGGTTTGTGTAAGTGCACTCCCTGATGTCCCCACATAGATGAAATCATCTAATACTGCATTTGTCAGAACGTATTCCCATCATTAAGCAGCGCATGGCTGCATTGCTATTTAATGCATGAAGTAAAGAGATATTTAGCAAATATTTCAGTTACTTACAAATCTAAGGCAGGGATCTAACAGTTTCTTCCAACCAGTTGTTATGAACTCACCTCTCCCTCATATTTTCATGTCTACCTCTTCCTTTTTTTCTGGCAATAACTTGTGATTTGTTCATTTGATGAATGCATTTTTAAGTATTTGTGGATTGACTCATGCCCTTCTCAGACCAGCTTCAACAAATAAACACAAGGCACACAGAAAACAATTTTTAGACTTACATTATCTACACTGGCCAGTTCAATTGATCAAGTTACTCAGCTTTTTCTTTAAATGTCTACAAGTAGCTATTTTAATACACACTTCAAAGAAAGTACATACTAGTCAGTGTGTCAAGTTCTAAGGATAAGGTGGAGAACAAGACATATAAACCTTCCTGAAACCTCCAAACAACTGAAGGAGATTGATGTTACACAATTTATTACATATGAAATGATGATTACACAAAGAGAAGTCAGGGTTCTCAGGGCTCTCAGGTAATGAAGAAATGGCTGTGATATCTTGTTGGGAATCAGGGGTGGACCTAGGAAGACCTCGTTGAAAACCAGAATCCCCCCTGCAGAGGCAAATAGCCAGTTCCACTTCTTTTAGCTTTTATGAGATCAAGGACAGAAAAAATAAAGCTGTCCCTTTAGTTGAGAAAAAGTAGAAATTTCCAATTTGAACTATGTAAGTGCTCAAAATTTCTTAATTAAGCCCTGTTTCTGTTTTCTGCTCCCCATCCCCAAAATACACACAAACCCCAAAATTTAAGATCTACATAATTTTAATAGCCACCTTCATTGATCAAACTGCTTGGCAAAACTCTCCCTCCTTAAGTGTTGCATAGGCATTCACTTATGTACTGGCATCCTCAAAGTAAAGCATATTAAATATTAGTATCAATATCAATTCTTTGGAAACTAGTTATTTACTTATTGAATTTAGTGTACATCGAGTCTAAGTTTTAAAATAGTGTCTATCGGAAGTAGAACAGGACTAAATTCTTTTTCCATAAGACACTTTGAAGTCCACCTACAGGTGGCCCCAGCCCACCTGTGCACCAAAGGCAAAGCTGGCGGAGTGGTTCTCCATTTAGGATGCTTTACCTTATACTAAGAAAATATTTTAGCTATTGGTTTCTGAGAGTCTTCACCTTGTTAAGAAAGTTTCCTTTTGTCCAGAGTTAAGTCTTTGTCTAATAGTAAGTTAAAGAAACAGGAAGGCAGCGTAGTTGTAAAAAGCATGGATGAGCCTATTCAAAGGTGTTAACTGTGGGTAGATGGTAACTTTTCCTTGGGTCTCTAAAATTTGTGGTAAAACAGTGTTTGCTTTTATTTGAAATGATGGACTAGGTCTCTGCAATTTAGGTGAGGGATTACACAGGAATTCATTTCAACACCATCCTCCTATTGTCTTTTCAAGTAAAACCCCACTTCCCACCATTCCCCATCCGTCCTTTCACATACTAATATTTTAAATATTTGATGATTAAATAATAAGAATTCCAAGACATTAAGAAGCTTTTTGGAACCCTAAGGAAATAAATAGAAAAATTAATTTCTGGCCCAAACTTCTGTTATCCCTTTGCAAAACCAACAGAGAGGTCATGACTGGGTGGGGATACATTCCTGATAACTCTGCTTCACCCTTCTGAGCCTTCCCAAAGTATGTTGACTTCATAGAAATGCTAGTTCCAAGAGATTTTTTACACTTTACATTCCCCAACTGTCCTCGCCCTCTGCCTTGCCCTCTTCCTCTCTCTTGCAAGTACAATATTGATATGCCAGAGCATGACTCTCTGTTCCAGGTGCACTCATTCCCAAACCCTCTATCTTGGTTGCATTCGTCCACCTTGGTACTTGAAATCTGCCGCTATAGATTTGGAATTATGGAATAAGGACTTGTAATCCGCTTAGCATCTAATAAAGGGTTTTATCCATATGTGCCTTTGCATTAATAAGGAACAACAGAGAAACAAATATTTGCTGTTTTCTAGCTAGGCTGTTTATCTTTGTTTTCCACTGTTCTTACTCTCTGTTGGTATATCTGAATAGGATTTAGATGTAAGTATACTAAAACAAATATCCACTAAGTTTCTGAGCATACCCAAAGAGAGAAATCCCCATGCTCAGCTGATGAAAAGCACAACACAAACTAGGTCCACTATCATAGAGAAAGGCAATCCTCACAAAGAGGATTCCACGCCCCAACCAGGGATCAAACCTGCAACCCTGGTGCATGGAAATGACACTCTAACAAACAGAGCTACCCGGCCAGGGCAGAATTCCTCTAAAAGTAATGAAGAGAATGGATACGCCTGCTTGCTTCATCAGCTACCAGTGATTTCACTTTTGGTTGTGGCAAGTTCCAGTCTTTAAACTCAGCAGCATGCTTCACAGGCTATTTCTAAATTACTGATTCTTCTCCAAACAGAGTCTATCTTACAGGAGCAGTGGTGATCACGATAAAAGACGTTTAAAACCCTTTCTTCCCCTCTTTCACTTCTGTGTCAGCCTCCAGCGAGTGGGCTACAAGGACTACACCAGTACGAGTGCTTCCATAAAGAAAAGTGCCCCCAAACGGTCCAGGCCCGTATCTTTATCCTGTGACTTGTCTCAACCTTTTTATAAACATCAATCTTTTTTTCCTTTTTTTTTTTGCCCTTTACCTTTGTTTCTAATTCTCCCCTGAGGGAAATAGAATGTTTAAGTAGGCATTAGTAAAATATTTACAGGGTCCCAAAACTGTACTTGTTCCTTAAATTTGAAAAAGCATAAGTAGGCGAATATACCACTTTAATCCAATCTTCACAAAATCCTCTTTATAATATATGCCTACATTATATAATCCATAGTAAATCTGAACTGATAATGTTTCACCCAAGTGAATCATAATTCATAATTGCATTAACCAAGGTTCTGAAGCTGTTTCAATAAAACCCTGGATGAATTCTTAGCAGACATTGCCAAATATTTATACTTTGTAGTTATTCATGGTATAAGGAGTACCATTTAGTCAGCGGGATTTAATTTAACAATGTTTACCTGTGCGTAAGCCTCCGGTGACTAATGCAGACTGCGGTCTGAGAATCTTGAGCAATGCATACTTTATGGCGACTACATTTCATCTTTAAGCATGGATCTTTAGCTGGGTCTAAAGCTAGAGAGAGAGGGGGAGGGAGAGAGGGAGGGAGAGGAGGAGGGAGGGAGAGAAATTTGTACATAAATTATTAAAATGAGTTTGTATAAAATAAAGGTCTCTAATCCCATTAAACACAATTGGATCTAGGAATTTATACAGCATTTACCTGTAAATTGCCTTTTCATTATCCTTTTATTAAGAGATACTTCTGCTTCTACCCGCATAACTCAAAGTAAATAGATAGTGGCACTTTAGTCTTATCCGTTCTATTCAGAAGCTAAAATGCACATACCCCTATCATCAAACAATGTGTAAGCAAGACAGGAACTTTTACACCAAAACTTCCTGGAGCTGCTACTGCCTCCTGAGCATTAAAGGGGGGGACATAAATTTGGGGTATGCTACTATACTTCTGTCAGTGGAGGATTATAACTTTCGCTCTCCTTAGCAGGTCAGTAGAGAAAATGGATGAGGCCCAAGGAGATGTTACTGGGCATAAATGAGATTTTGGATTTCCAAGAAAAGTCTACAGTTATACTTGAGGGCTGGTTGAGTGTGTCATGGTAAGAACCGAGAAGTTGCATTTTCATTTTCATTTTGTGCCTGACATTTGAACTGCCACTTATCCAGACAAACCTCTGTCTTGGCGGCTGCTAACACAAAGACTGTGTGGTATTTTAAATAGCAGTTTTACTGAGAAATAATTCACATACTACACAATTCATTCTTTTACTGTTCAAAATCCACTGGTTGTTAGTACATTCACAGTTGTGACACTATTATCATAATCAATTTAGAACATTTTTACACTTCAAAAAATACTCATACCCTTTAGTTACCACTTCCATTTCCACCAACTCCATCACAACAACCAATACTACGCACCCACTAATCTAATTTCTGTCTGTATAGATTTGCCTATTCTGCACATTTCCTATAAATGGAGTCACACAATATGTGGTCTTTTGTGACTGGCTTCCTTTATTTGGAACAGTGTTTCCTCTCAAGGTCTAACCACGGTGTAGCATCCATCACCACTCTTTTATGTTGCTGAACATCATTCCATTGTATAAATATGTCACACTCTGTTTAGACATTTACTAATCAATGGAAATTTTGGTGGTTTCCTCCTTTAGGTTATTATGAATGTTAGTAACCATTATTGGTGATGGTTAGTGATATTTTGTTGTTATTTATTTGGGGCAAAAAGTGAGAGAGGGAGTTGGCACAAGTAAGAAAATGACACTGAGCATTTAATTTGGGTATATGTCGAAACAGAGAAAGAACCCATGAAAATGGCAAACTGAAAAGAAAGTTCTAGTGCATGTAGTAAAACGGAGCTGGGGTGACCAGAAGAATGTGCATTGGGAATATGAAAAAGTATTTGTGGGGGCCCTGGGCTTTCACTGGGGATGAAACATGGATTTGAGCCAAGCTTCTTTAAAGATCTTAAACCTGAGGTAAATCAGAACTAAAATCTAGGGTACAAATCAAATTTAACTTTAAAATGTGTTAAAATTTAGTCACTACCCTAAGTATCATGAATATACTTTGATAGTCAATGAATTCAATAAAATATATCTATATATAGACTATATATAAAAACATATTCTTTCTTTAAAAATACAAAGTATATTTCTGCAAAAATTGTTACTTGAGATTTCACATAAGTATGAGATTTAAAATAAAGAATACTAACACACATTGCTAAAATGTTAACTAATAGATATATGATAATAAAATAGTCAACACATTAAGTACATCTATTTGGAAGACAAATGTTTCAATTTCCTCCATACTAGGACATTTTTTCCACAAATAATTATTAAAGTAATTATAGTTCTTCTTAATTTCTGAGTAGTTCCAACATTTAAGATAAGCTACATTCGTTATTTTATTCTCTACAAAATGTTGAATATACTTTGTTCACTATGCAAATGCAAACTGCTATAACGTTGTCATTATACCATTACAGTTTCAATCGTCACTAATTAAAAAAACTTTCTTTAAACTACTGTATTTTAGAACTGTACAACATAAAAGAAAAACATTCAATAATTTAGAACTCATTAAAATGTTTTAAGGTATTTCTAATTCTTAGTCTATTTTGATTTTTAAATTATTAATATTGTTTAAATATGATTAAAACTGCACAATTTGCATAACAACTAAACAATGTAATTGTGCCTACCACTGTACCTTATATTCATTTCATACACTCATTGTGAATATAGTTAATCTATGATATATTATTCTGAAAAAATAAAGTTTTCATTTTGAAATAAAAAACTACAGAACATATAAAACTATCATAGTTAATCTAATCTAGTTACACTTGACTGCAGACTATTAATAGTTATTTTTAGTTATTCCTTACAGTTTTATTTACCTTATACAGACTACATTAAATAATTTACAAAAGTTCCATGTCTGATTTGCTTCTGGACCCTGGGCTTGGAAAAGCAGACCTTGGTGTACATCTGGGTCCTGTCCAAACACACCCAACCCCAGCAGATAGAACCACAAGCCGTGGAGTGTGGAAAGCTTCAAACAGGGTTCTCAAGGCCAGTCACAAACAGCGTCTGACATTGGCTTGTACCAGAGACCATCCAAAAGCCTGGGAGTCCTAGCAGATTTACCTAATATATAGAAACAAACCCAAACAGGCAGCCAAAATGGGGAGACCAAAAAAACAAACCCCAAATGAAAGAACAAAAGAATTCCCCAGAAGAACTAAATGAAATGGAGATAAGCAATCTATCATATATAGAGTTCAGAATACTGATCATAAAGATGCTCAACAGCATGAGAAAATATGGAAACTATTAAGAAAATTAAGAATGACATAGTAGAAATAATGATAAAAAAAAATGGAAGGAATAAACAGCAGATTAGGGGAAGCTGAGGATAGGATCAGTGAATTAGAAGACAGGGTAGAAAAAATCAATCGGAGAATCAAAAAGAAAAAGCAATTAAAAAGCAGGACAGTTTATGGGAGCACATGTAATGTAACAATATTCACATCATAGGAGTGCCAGAAGATGTAGAAAGTAAGCAAGAGTTAGAGAACCTGTTTGAAGAAATGATGACAGAAAACTTACCTAACCTGGTAAAGAAAAAAGTCACACAAATTCAGGAGACACAGAGAGTTCCAAGCAAGAAGAACCCAAAGGGCCCGCACCCAGACACATCATAGTTAACATGCCAAAAATTCAAGACAAAGAAATCTTAAAGGCAGCAAGAGAAAAGTAATCCACTAACTACAGAGGAGCTCCCATAGCGCTGTCAGCTGACTGCTCATCAGAAACTCTATAGGACAGAAGGGAATGGCATGAAGTATTCAAGGTAATGCAAAACAAGGATCTGAAACCAAGACTACTCTATCCAGCAGGCTATCATTCAAGATAGATGGTGAAATAAAGAGCTTCCCAGCCAAAAAGAGGCTAAAGGAGTTTATCACCACCAAACCAGCATTGCAAGAAATGTTAAAGGGACTACTGTAATAAGAAGTTGAAATAGAATAAGAAACATAGGCATAAAGGAATAAAATGGCAATAGAAATGCATCTATCAATAATAACCCTAAATATAAATGGATTAAATGTTCCATCAAAAGACACAGAGACATAGGGTAGCTGAGTGGACAAGAAAGCAAGACCCATATATTTGCTGTCTACAAGAGACCCACCTTGGAACAAAAGACTCACACAGACTAAAACAAAAACAAAAAACAACTTCTGGAAGACTTTAAAGGCGAGATAGACAGTAACACAGTTACAGTAGGGGACTTGAACACTCCACTGACTTTACTGGATAGCTCTTCCAGATAAAATATCAACAAGGAAAAAGTGACTCTAAATGACACACTATATCAGAAGGATTTAACTGACATTTATAGAACATATCACCTCAAAGCTGCAGAATATACATTCTTCTCACGTGCACATGGGACATTCTCAAAGATAGACCATGTTAGGACACAAAACAAGTCTCTACAAATAAAAAAAAAGTTCCATAACTCCTCTTACAGTATATCCACGTAAGAGAAAACACATCTCAAAAGTTTGTATATAAAGAGGACATTATCAGAACAAAGATAGCACATAAAAATAATAAAATTATGAGTAAAATTCTCCATAAATGATAACACAGAGGAGTAGCAGGATTTGCCAGGAGACGGAAAATATAATAGAAAGTAAACATGAAGAATCAAACACAGAGGGTCTGCAATAAGGAAAGGATCACTTTCTGTGCATGTGATTTTAACCATCTGTATTTTTTAGTAGAACTCACATTGTTGGCAGCTTAAAAACTATAAAACATCACACACTGTAAATACAGATGCCTAAGATTTTATACTTGAAATCACAACAATAACAGAACCATCTTCCTCTTGGCTGAAGCCCAGGGATTAGAATCAATCCTGTGTCTTAAAGACGCCTGGCATAAATTCATGCTCGCCCTCTGCTACTATCCTTCTCTTTTCATACTTTTCAAATTAGTTCCTATTTTACTCTGTATTATATTTAACAGTCTCAAGCATCCAGTAAAACAACCCCTAGAAAGTCTTCAGCTAGTGCATTTAAATTCATTTGGCCATCTTCTCGTCTTCATCTATGTCTTTCATCATCTTTCTGACTGATGTGAACTACCCTGGGAACCTGATACTGTTTTGTTGTGTTTTAGAAAAAGTCATTCTGAAATTCAAACAATTGCCTTGTGATTTAACCTTTGCATTTCATTTGTGATGTAGGCTTTTCCCACACTCTTTCACCAAAATACTTGGGTTTTTTTTCATCCAGAAAACTGCAGACCAGGATAAGCTAGGAAGTGCCCAGCTATGTCCAGCTGCTAATGGTAGAAGAACCTGAGCCAGCAGGTGAGAAACATGTGAATGTAGACAGGTGTATCACTAAGAGAAGGCCTAATTCTTGAAGAGAAGTCCCAATGTAAGGAGAACTGAAAAGTAAGGACACAATATAGAGGACAGTTCAGGAAAACAAACATGGGCAGTGAAAG